GGTTGGTGTTGTGATTCATCATGACTGGTTGGGTGTTTGGGTGTGTAAAAGTAATCTGCTGCTGTCAGATGTAAAGTGTGTGTTTGTCTGCAGGGTAATAACATGCAGGAGGTTCTGTCAGCACACGTCAGGGAGTCTAGAAAGTTAATTGCCTAATTGCATGTGGTATATAGAGGTCTGTGTAAAGTATTTAGCAAGTTGGATACTTAATGAACAGTTTGACATTTTGGAGAATGCGTTTATTTGCTTTCTCAGACATTTAACAAAGAAGATAAACTCTAATGTGTTAATTCGTCAGCATTTTTATTGTACTTTTAGACAGAGACAAGCTAGCTGTTTCCCGCTGTTTCCAGTCTTTATGCTAAGCTAAGCTAACAGTCTCCTGGGTCCAGCTTCATATTCAATGTATAAACATGAGACTGGTATCAATCTTCTCATATAACTCTCAGCAAGACAGCAAAATAATGTATTTCCCAAATATATTTCTTTACAATGGAATAAAAGCATGTGGTGTGAGATGTAAGGCTTGTTTGTTGTGCTTTAAGGAATGACCGCGGCTTCAGTCATTTACTCACTCACTCTCTGTCTCTCACAATCATTTCTCCTAGTGGCCATCAGCAGTTATGACACATTAGGCCACGTGTTTCCTCTTTGTGGTGAACGTGAAATATGTGGTGCTTTCCATAAGCAACATTACTACAATAGAGGGATGTTTTAGAGTGCCAGCATATGATAGTTACAGTCGGGAGAGCTGCGACGCAGAATGTTGATGCACTGAACATAGGACATCGCGTACATTTAGAATAAGAGGAGGCTCTAAAATCTCCCGTTATAGATTACCATTCATTGTGTTGCCAACAACATGCTTTGCGTCCATACCTCCTAAAGCCTTACTAATGATTTTCTGGTGACAGTTAAATGGAGGCATTAATTAATCAATAGCGTTTCCATATTTAGCCTTGAGAGAAACAGAGAAATCAGGATGAGGTACGAGGCAGCACAGGGGATTTGAGAAGTTTGACAGTTTCAGAGAAATAGATGTGGAGGTTGGTGGGGTGATGTCCTTTGGCACTGGTGGGTGTTGTGGCCTGCCACTGGATGCCCCTGGCATTGTGTGTTTTGTGTTGCAGCAGAGAAGGGGATAGAGTGAAACAATACAGCCGCTGCTCGTCTGTCTCCCCACCTCTAAGCTCGCTCAGTTTACACACAGCCTGCAGCCGTGATATCAACATTCACCGTGTTGTCTGTGTCTGTGTGTACATATTTTTTCTTGCATTTGTTTTTAGTGGACACTGTTCTAAAGCGTGTGCAGACTAATTTGTGTTGATATGCATTCCTTCTTATACGTGTATTCAGTTTCTGTTTTGTTACACGCTCGAGTGCCAAACTGACATCATCGCAGTCTGGCGGCCCGGGGATATCAGTCTTTATACATCTAAATATCCTCCATTCATCTAGACGATCACTGTGTTGATGTCATGAGGAGAGGAAGCACATAGTACAGATTCAGCAGAAATGAATACAAATGCTCTGCAGCTTCAAAATGTCATAAATCTCTATTCCTAGAATGAAGGAACGACGTGAACAACCCAAAAACCTGACTGCACAGCTTCTATTGGAGATCATGACAGATACTGTCATACTATATACTACTTGTATTATTATTATTTTACTGTGTTGTACTGTATTATGCGGTTACATGAAATCTATACACTCTAGTAATTTATCCTAAAAGGAAATGATACAGTATGTCCTATGTTGTGATACTTATATTCTAATGTTTTGTAGCTGCAAGTAGCTCCTCCATTTCTTTTGTCTAAGTCAGTCATTGTGGGACAGTAGCGTTCATCAACGGCACTCAATAATTAAGTGTGTTGTTGTTTTTTGTGTATGCACTCTATCTTTAGTGAGTGCATACAAACTTGAGGCTTTCCCCAACCTGGAAAAAAAGATCTCTCATTAATTGGCCACCATTGATGTGGTCGAAGTGGTTAAGGTGCATCTTAACGGCATATTTTTTGTACAACATTTGTGTTACAATGGTGGAAGACGGTTTCCAGTGCTCGGACCGTTAAAAATGTAGAATTGTTTCATCATTGAAGGCAAATATATTGGCCAATATTGTTGCAGATATATTAGTATCAGAGTACTATGTGGGACAATAAGTAACACGATATTGCAGTCCAGAGGTCCTTATGAACAGTGTCATTATAACATAGTTCACCAGAGTGCATGACGTTTTCTTTTCATCCCCAAATATTCCACATAGTGAACATCGCCGTAACAATCTTTTTTTAAATGTAGAGGATCCTTTAGGGGATATTTTAAACAGTCAGTTATGGATGTTGGTATCTGCCTCACACATATAGGTCGGCTATATTACAGGATTTTACAGATTAAGCTTTAATGGGTTATTGAGCTTTAAGGATTTTGATCGAAAAGTCCGACTCCTAATACTGAATAGATGTGTAGTAATCCCATCAAACCTACATATTACATCCCTTCAACACTATATTAATACTAAGGCGTCACTGTTATGTTTCCTCTCCCTGTTAAAGAGAATGTGCAGACACCAGTCAGTGACCAGAGGGCATTTTTAATTAGAACTGAGATGGTTAATTGTCATTTTTACAGAGACTCACACGGAAATTAGATGCTTTTTTGACTATGTAAGACTGTAATTGAGAATGCTAAATTCTCAGCTTTTCTAGTTATCACTTGTGAGACAGATTCCTCTCTCTCTCTCTCTCTCTCTCTCTCTCTCTCTCTCTCTCTCATCCTCTCTCTTCTATCTAACATTAGATTAATGCTTTCCTTCAGGCTTAACCTAGTCTTTAATGGCCCCATTTTCTTTGAACCTCTGATCTGTTGAGGCTTAATGATATTTCTTTTACTAATCTCTTGCCCCGTCCTACGTAATGCTTCATTCACAAAGACTTCAAGATCCCTCATTTTGGACACAGCTGGGATATGGATGGAGGGTTGGACATGTTGGTCCCTGGTTTTCACTGCGGGCATTAAGGGATAAACTGACGAGAGCAATGAATAGTGACTTATGGATGAAGACTACTTAATCTGTTGGCACTTAAGCTTGGGCAGATGCAGAAGAAGAAGCAAAGAGAACTGAGTGCTATTTGAAAGACTATTGCAAAATTTCACCTATGAAAAAACATGTACAATTTAAAAATGCTTTTAGACGACCATATTTTTACTGATGTATTGTATCCATTTCTAAAGTGAGAGTGTATGTTTCTAGTCTGGTCTCAGTTCATGGCCTTCTATAAAATATCTGCATTGAACGATTGAAAGAAGAATACAAGACTACAGGATTACATGTCATGTTTGACTGACATTATGTTTGATTGTGTAAATCACTGAGTAGTTGTCGATGATAATAATGATTTGAAGTTGGGCATGACACACGAGTAGTTTGCTGTTTCGGTCTTTTCTTGTGGTTGACATCCAGGATAACAGAAACACAACACAATCTAGTGATCACGATGGTTCAGGCCAGAAGAACAGAACAGAAAGAAAGAACAGAAAGATCTTAAGTGCTTCAGCGCGGTCAAACAGTTCTCTCGGGGGGGGGGGGGGGTTTGGATAAAGGAAGAAGACATTCCGTGATGTGGTCTGATATCAGCTTTAGCTTAATGGTTTCTTGTAATCAGGAAATGACTTCCAGTTACCACTGCTTCATCTGCCATTATTTTGTTCGTGCATGAGCACACATAGACACAAATATTTTCCTCTCACAGTTGTTTACGGCTTATCGGTGGAACAATCTGATGCTGGATGTCTTGTTCACTCACACTTTGGCTTTGGGTCAGATCCCTCTGTGTTCGTCAGAGTTATTTCTGGAAAAGCACGGCGGAGGGAACGAGTACAATGTTGGATAACCGCTCGTACAGCTCGTCCCTGCTGAGTTTATCCTAAGTGTCACCGGACGCAAGGCTAAATTTAGCAGGTCTGGGTCTTTTGATAATTCAGGGGAATTTGGTTTTTGAGCCTCTATTATGAAGCAGCGTATCACAGCTTCTCTCCCCCGTTCTCTCAGCAGCTCAAGTGCTGAGTTTTACAAAATGCTCTTTGCAAGACTGCTGCGAAGAAGAAGGAAGACAAAATGTGCAGAGTTTGCTGTGTGTCACTTAATGTCAAACCAAATGTCCCAGGAGCTAACATGAATACAGAAGAGAAACACAACCTCTCTCTCATCTTCTTCTCTCGTTTTAGCTTTCTACATCTCCTTGTCTACTCTTATCCTCCCCCCCCTCCCTTTCTCCTTCTCTCTCTCTCTCTCACACACACACACACACACCACATTTGTTATAGGGGCAAAAACATGCTTGCCTCATCATTTTTTATTGGTGTGCAAAGCCCTATTTCTGTAGTGAAATAAAGGACAGTCAAGCAGAATAGAGAATGCTCTGCTTCTGGTAGCACAGCGACCTACACATACCACTACTTTACTGGTGGATTCAGAGAGAGATCTCTGTGAAAGAGAGGAGGTCTCTGTGGCAGCACTAGGGACCACCCGGTCGCTGAACTTCCTACCTTTGGGAATCGGAGACATTTGATTTTAACAGAGCTGAAATAACAGCTCGGTGGGATCTGATGGATGACGCTGGATGATGGGAATTGTTGGGAAGATGTGCTGTCACTCTGTTCGCTTTTTCATGGATTTACTTTTTGAGATGTTTTAGCGTGGTCTTAATTTGAGACACCAGTGGACTTTACTATGTTGGTTTTAACGGGACAATGGACCTGCTGTGTGTATGGATATTGGCTCTGTTTTTTCCCCTGTTAAGATGTTTTGAAGATCCCTGAGAAATTATGACAGAGTTCTACCTGGTACAGTACATTTTTGGCATTTGTATGTGCTTTTGTTCTCTTGTATGCCTAATAATTAACAGTTTAATACCGCTATGTCCGTGGCTGAAGTCTGACTTTAGGTACTCACATCCTTTCTCTTTTTCTCTGTTTCTTTGCTTTCTCCTCTCCAGTCTGACAGCAATGCCAGTTACCTGCGAGCAGCCCGGGCAGGAAACCTAGAAAAGGTCCTCGACTACCTCAAGTCTGGGGTTGAGATTAACATTTGCAATCAGGTATGTTTTCTCAGACACTTATTAAGAAACTAAAATGTTCTTGCGAGTGTCTGTCCTCCTTGGGGTATCGAACAATCTTAAGTTATTCTTTTCTGCACACATAAACATGCTATCACCATACTGCTGCATCAGCCAAATTTTTGAATTGAGGGCTCAAGGGCTCAACTGAACAAGCAGTTTCACCCTCTAGATGAAATATTTTATCCTTTTTACCGTTATCATAGTATATAATTGTGCAAGAGCTACACAGACTGCACTAAATGTGTTCCTTTCTCAGAATGGTCTGAACGCTCTCCATCTAGCCTCTAAAGAGGGGCATGTCGAGGTTGTTGCTGAGCTGCTGAAGCTGGAAGCAGATGTGGATTCAGCCACAAAGGTAAGGCCCACCCCATCACCGATCGCAGCTCAGCTGATGTTACGGAGGGCTATATTTGGATCCAGAGACAAAACATGGCTGCACTTTGCTACAGTGCTACTACTGTGATACTGCAATCCATTGCAAGTCGGAAGTCAATAATTCCGTGTAGGTATTACCCACTTACAATCTAAATGCGTCTCAGTGCATCTGTTCAGGAAAACAAGAACGCCCGCAGCAAACTGATGTTTCTATGAAAGAGTCTCAGCATCTGCAGAGGACCTACATCAATTTCCACAACAGAGAGAAGAACTGTATAAAGTAACCATCTTTAAATTAAAAACTAGAGAATCCTGGGGAGAAATACTTCTGTTAATCCAATTTAAGACATTTCAAGGATCCACAGGAACCCTGTTGTAATAGACAGGAGGATTAAACTACTACTGCATGCTGGCAAAGAAGCACAAATCAACTGAATGGAAATGGCAATTACAATGTTGTTACGGCGCACATTTCACGGCACAAACGCCCCATAAAACACTACACAAAGTAGAAAATGATGAAAAAAGGTAATTCAATGTGGAATTCCGACTTGCACTTTTTCATATCGTAGGTTGACAATGGCTTGCAGCATAAGTGTGCAGCCTTCGTTTAGAGTTTAATTTTGGATCAATAATTAATGATCCCTGTGGAAAATAAGATATATGTCAGATTGAAGCATTGGGAGTTCAGTATAATTTCCACAGTGGAATGTATTAAATACATGTAATAAAGAACAGCAGAAGTGTTGTATTTGATGTACTGTAATACAGTATTATTCATCAGGAGAGGGTCTCTTCCTTTGAAGCATCGTTACTCCAATGCCAAAAGGAGTTGAGATAGAGAGTCACTCAAAACATTATTCAGATTTGAGCCCAGAAGGCGTTCACTCCCATTTAGTCGTCTGGTTCAGCCTCTCTGCCACAGGCCACGTGCCTAGTGAGACATAAACAGAGGACACAATGAAATATTTAAGATCAAGGAGAAAATCTCCCCAATTAAAGCCTCTCTCTGTTGTGACCCTGAGGATGCTGAGGGATTAGTTTGAGATCTTGGGAATCCACTGCCTGCCCCAACGCCTATCAGTTTCTATTTTATACGGCCGATGGAGACAATTAGGAAGGCAGTGCTATCTAGGATACCTAGATTTAGGAACACAAAGTGTTTTAGCATTTAGGCTCTGTGGGTGTTTAATGCTAAAGTTAATTGTGTGTCCGCCCCTCTTATGTTGTGCTGCTCTTGTTGCGGAAGAGTAAAACAATAGGCCGTGTCCTCGGTTCATTAGCCTCTTGGCACCTCAATAACAAATGCTATTCTTGAGAAGCTTACAATGTTGAGACTGTCAGAGAGATGCTGACTTAACTTTATTTACAATTTCTGGGGCTGTAGTTTGTGTTTTACTGGACTGAAAATGTTATAAATGTCTGTCACTTGAGGCAGCATCAGTTTTTGCTGAATACTACAAGTTTGAAAATGAGAAAAAATGAGAAAAATTGGGGGTGTGTGAGTTAGAAAGAAGTGATCTCTGTAGCCCGCTCCTAATCTCTGCTTAAGGCTAACGGCTCAAGGCTACATTAGCTGCTACTAGCATAACAAACCTGAATCTCGGAGCAAACTGTCTGTGATCAAGTTGCAAGTTATTGCATTATATTGCATTTTTTACACTTAAGATGATGACATTGTGTCCAATGTGTAGAGGCATTTACATTTTATAATCATATTTGCTATCAAAGGCTCAGATAATTACCATTTTCCAAAGAATATACACAACAGTAAAGATGCTGTGGGAACAAATCTAGATCAAGCAGCTATAATAAAACATAATCAGTGAACTCAAACATAACATAGTAACACAATTTAAATTTATAGTTCAGATCATAAGCTAATCGAACAATTGCTTTTACTGTTTTGTATTCCAGAAAAGCCTTTAGACTCAGTATAGCACACACACTCTAGTCTTCAGCTACATTATATACCAACCAGCCTCTCAGTCTCTTTGTTAATTTGCCCAACTATCTAACTTGCTACAGAATACAGTACATGTGACAGATGATCACTATTGTGTAACAGCACTTGTCGAATAACAGAGCCCAGTATCACGCGGCCAGGAGAAAGGCTGGGGGTCGAATCTGCCTTCACAAGGATCCGTACCGGTTCATAGAACGCCTCCTGTAGTGTTATTTATGGCCGAGGCTCAAGGGGAGCTCGTTTATGTGTGGGACGCGGAGCATCGGAAGTGACACATTGTTGGCAGAGCAGGTATGGGGATGCCAGAGCTGGAATGACAGCAGTACAAAAGTGTGATTGGCGTAGGGGGGATTCACTGGTGCACATGGAGACTGACATGGATATATACAGACACACATACACACACACACACAAGCGACACGATTGGACAGGTGGGGCAGAGCTTAACACGCATTCCTTTGGCTGTTCCATGCTATCCAGAAAGGAAACACTGCTCTGCACATAGCTTCGCTGGCTGGCCAAACGGAAGTCGTCAAAGAGCTAGTCACAAATGGAGCCAATGTCAACTCACAATCACAGGTGGGACACACTCAACACACACACACACACACACATGCAACAATGTCATAATGACAGTGAGGTCCCGTTGGTCTACATTTAGGACCTGAAACAACTTAAGTGTAATTAAAATTCACACATTTGTTTTGTGATATGGCATCGTGAAGTCAATGACACTGAGGGGAATCACTCAGTGGAAAGATCCTCGCTGACACAATCTGGCATCACGCCAACTAGGCCTCTGCCTCTCCAGGAAACTGATGTCCTTGCATTTTAAATTAAACTATCATATCAAGGTGAGAAGAAAGATTACAAGCACCTTCTTTCTCTCTGCTCTGATCAAACCCAATAGAGTTGTAACAGCAACGCAATAATCTTTCAGACTTTACCTGAACATTTTGTTTTGTGTCTGGGTTTGTATCATTTTTAATTACATTTCATTTGATGTTACAAGTGTCCTCATCTAAGGCATATTGGGACATTTTGCATTGCTTTCAGTGTAATGTCACAAAGAAAAGATCAACAAGAAAGGACACATTTATCTCTTTGAGTGGCAGCAAAGTATGTTCTAAGCCTGTATGTAAACATGTGTGTCCAGAATGGCTTCACTCCTCTGTACATGGCCGCCCAGGAGAATCACCTGGAGGTGGTACGGTTCCTTCTGGAGCACAGCGCTAGCCAGAGTATGGCCACTGAGGTACTGTACACCCACTTGTGTGTATGTGTGTGTGTTTGTTATCGTGTGTGTACGTGTGCCAGTCCTGTGTCCACCTCTCTATACCGTTACAGTAAGTCTCCATGCATTTTCTCTGCCTCGGTCATGTGTGGTCTTTACATCTGTTGTACTAACCACCTTCATCTCCTCTCTTTCCTCCCCTTCCTCCTTTTATGATCCCGACCCCACTCACTCTGCATCTGCCTTTGTCTCCGTCTGTTTCCACTCTTCCTTTGTCTCGGTGTCCTTTCTGTCTCACATTCCCACTGTGTCTACCTCACTGTCTTTCCACCATCCTCCTCTGCCTGCTCCTTCTCCTCTTCCCCTCCTCAACTCCTCATGAGGGACTAGGCAGAGCGTCATTGATTGGTAGTGTATGGTGGTGGAGGCAGAGTGACCTTGAGTGGGTCACAGATGAGGTCCGCTCCGCTCGCTGCCTCTCCTCCACGGCTGCTGCTGCTGTTACTGCTCTGATTTACGTTGCTCAGCCTGTGGAACCCGTACACACACTTACCAGTCCCCACACGTACACACACACACACACACACACACACATACACACACGCACACAAGCACATGCAGACAAATAGCTGTTGGAGCTAATGGAATACCCAAGCCCGTCTACAGTGCACTAGCTTACATCTACGGGCTACATGGTTGAACACGGGATGCTCTTCAGGACATGTATGCACATAGAATATGTTTGCACATGTGCACACACACCAATCTGCACACGTGAACATGATATATATATTCAGGCACACCTACACGTACACAAATACTTACTGCACACACACACACACACACACACACATTGAAGTGTGTAGAAACGCACTGCTGTGGCAGGGAGCCTCCAGCTGAATTATGCAGCATGAGAGTAATGTGTGTAGGAGATAGATGTGAGCCTTTTCCACCCCAGCATCTCATTATGTAACTTACATCAGTGTCCTATATGGTGAGAAGGCTTGAGAATACACAGAAAGTGTACAGTAATCTCTACATCTATTTGACAAATGGGCTATTATGTTATGATTTACTATCCTACATGTTCCAGGAAGATCAGACTGTCTAAAGGTTAAACTTTCTATCTTGAGTTTCCAGATGATTCTTTTTCCTCAGAGAGAAGATATTTGATTGTGGCAACGTAAATATAGAAAATGTAACCTTCAGGTACAATCATAAAGTAATTTCTGGATTGTTTCTGAATAAAATTTTTACACAAATACAAAATGTTTGCAGTTTGATTTGATGGAGAATTAGGAAACATTTTACCGTTGCGCTCATGTTTCCCATAACTATCTTTTTCTTGACATTTTTGCTAAACAAAAATTAAGTTCTATGTAGTTCTCAGACTAAAGTACCATTTGTACACTACAAAGAAGATCTTCTAAAACAAAAGATAACGTGCTGGAATTCATTGGACCATTAATAACCTTTTAAATGTCTATAGGACTCAGGGGTCTTGCTTTGCTGTCCTCTCTGCCTGCAGCAAAATGATAATTCAGTCCGTCCATGCAGTCACACTAACCACCTCGTATCAGCCCCGTCACCGGTAATGCATTGCGGCGCCCCTCCAGCCCCAGTGACTCCTCTCTCTCTCTCCTCACACGCAGGATGGCTTCACTCCTCTGGCGGTGGCCCTCCAGCAGGGCCATGACCAGGTGGTCTCCTTGCTGCTGGAGAACGATACAAAGGGCAAGGTACGCCTGCCTGCCCTGCACATCGCTGCCCGCAAGGATGACACCAAGGCCGCGGCCCTGCTCCTGCAGAACGACCACAACGCAGATGTTGAGTCCAAGGTGAGTGACGACGCTGATGCAGCCAGGTAGTGGATCTTCAGTTGATTGTTTCTTTTCTTTCTTTTTTTTTATCTCTGATTATTTGATTGTTTAATTGTTGTTTAAATCTTTGGTTTACAAAGCCAGTTTTTATTTCCTTGCTGACTTTTTCTCTTCTTCGTTCTTGGTTAAATTTGCTTTTGAATATCATTTTGGCAGAAAGGGGAGAGATGCAGAAGTACATTTCTTTGTTTGTATTCATTAAATCACATTATTGATCAGAATAACAGTCAATGTATATACAAAGTTTCAGATGACAGAAACAGGAATTTGTGAATGTACTTCATGATCGTGCTGGAAAAGGATTCTGGTTTGAGAATGTCTTTCTCAAATTTAAAATCATAGATAACAGTACTTTTTTGCCATAAATTGTTTTGCTTCTCCCCTCTCTGTGCTCCTCCACTTCATGTCAGTGGAGGACCTTTTCTGTTCTTTTGCTCACTAACTGCCCATTCTCTCCTCTCCTTGGCTGACTCTGTAGATGATGGTGAATAGAACAACAGAGGTACACCTCTACTCTGTACATTACGTAGTCTCTCCATTGCAGCTCATGAAAAACTCTGAAAAACCAAACAAACACTTCAGTGCCCCTGACTTGATGCAGTAGTGTTTCTGCAGCCCTTTGTCGTCGTCCCCTCAGTCTCATCTTCCTCTCCATCTATTCATTCATGTAGTGGATACCTCTAGTCATTGAGAAAGTCAGAGTAAAAGCGCATGTTTTACTAATACTGATTGAGTAAGTCCTGAGGCTGGAGGCTTGGGTATCAAGCTGATTCTAATGGTTTCATGGTGTCCAAAGCTTCGGCTGTTATTTTTCCCAAATTCATTGTGACTGTTGACAAAATGTTGTCCCAATGTGTCCTGACACAGTCCTTCCATGAAACCGATTAACATGATAACCAGTGTTAGCATGAAAATTGGTTAGCATTCATTGAAAAGCAGCGGTTTGTACATAACCTGCATGGCAACCCAAACCCCCATTAAGCCGTAAAGGAACCCAGCCTTCTAGCAACAGACAGTTAGTCTAATTAGTTTACTACACTCTATTGATTTTAGATCGTCAAATCTAATCCTCAACCTTTGCATCTAAAGCATTTTGCATGGGACCAAAGCAACAAGCTACCTCAACACTGCTTGTATGGTAACAAGGCCCCCTTCGTCACACCAAAGTCAGGTGCCCACCCTCTGTGTGTGCCTGTTTTGGTTGGCATTGTGTCTGGCTTTGGCAGACTGGAAAGTTATCTGATGTGATTCATCCAGAAAATGGCTTTGTGATCTGAGGCTCCTGCATCGTGGTGAAAATATTTACATAGCACTCTGATGGAAGATGGAAAAAAGTCAACGACTGACTATAAAAAGATGGGTTTTTGTGGTTCATTTTAATTTTTGGTTAACTTACTTTTTTAATAGGATTTTCTTGAGTGTAAGAATATATTTTGAGATTATTTAAAGTCGTAGTGTTTTGGGTTAGGGTTTCTAAGACACCAGATATCAGCAGAGTGGATACACATGTCTGAGACACCTGCTCTCCTTGGGATTATTGTTTTTTTGAAATTGGGATGCCAATGATTGGATAGCTTAATGTGAGATTCATTTACTTATTGGACAGATTGTTTCCAGTGTCCTTCTGTTGCTTTCACAGCTGTTGCCCACTAAGCCAGGGGTTTTGCCGGGGGAAATTACCTTCATATAAGATGGTAACGAATGGACATTAGGTTCATCTGCAGGACAATTTTTTACACTCTAAAAGTATCAGGATGTTGTAAAGGAGATGATCTAGATTACCGGTAAATAACTGGAGTTGTATTTAACACATAAGCCTATATAGTTTTACTTGACTTTGCCCAGTGTGATCATGAAAGCGCATAGAAGCCCATATGGTATACTGAATCTAAACCCCTCTCGTTGCCAGTATACCATTGGCTCCATGTTCGATGCTTCGATTAAACGACTTTCTCTGCCACTGTGGGGAAAGTCAGGTGTTAGTGTAACAGTGTATAGCAGTGTGTGTCCTCCTCTGTCAACAGTAGGCCTGTGTAGGCTGCTGTAAAGCTCCAGGTCTGTACAGCACATGTGTGGTGGTTTCATAGTTTGTAACGTAATGTGTGTGCCTGTCTGTTTGCACGTGTGTGTTGTTCGCCTTTCTCCGATCCACCAGAGTGGTTTCACCCCCCTCCACATCGCGGCTCACTATGGCAACATTAACGTGGCCACGCTTCTGCTGAACAGAGGAGCTGCTGTGGACTTCATGGCTCGGGTGAGTTTATTCTGCCCTCTGCTGTTTGGGAGGGGTACAACCAGCATAAAAGGTAAACAGGTGTGAAGGTGGAGATAGGCTGCATATGCTGAACACAGTGATCCTGTACAGATGTGGAACAGTGGTTTAGTTTATTATTGAGCAGTCCCTCAATGCTCCTTCAGAGGGCAGCTGTTTGGTATCTTATGTTGCCCGACAGGGTTAAATGATGAGGTAGATTATTCTGGATAAAATTTGGATTCTGGAAATTTTGTTAAAGGATGGCAAATCCACCTGAGATTGACTTTAAAATGAGTTCAAGATATTCATGAATATAAAGACATGGAAGGGATTTGAGTATGATGTGTTGTTGAAAAATTTGGTACAGAATTTGCCGCTTTTTTATAAAAAAATGGAGATGATGGTGAAGCTGTTTTGTATACTTACTGTCTATGGTGATCTACGAGTCACACGATCAGACTGATTTTTTTGTGGATAAAAAATGACAGGGTGTGCAAAGTGTTTTGATTTTGATGGACTTTGAGGTGCTCACTCACATCTGCACCTTGCTGTGTGTGCATTCTCAAAGTTACACACTGTGTTCATAATATGTGCTTCACTCTTGCTTAAATAATTAAGCTTTTTATAATAGGCAGAGTAGGATTACTTTTTATTTACTGTGCTATTTACATTTTAATGCAAGAAAGGGTGCCGTTAAAAATGTGTTTGTTTCCACATTATTAGACATTAGCTAAGCAGAGTCAACAGTGACCCGTAATTATATGAGCTAGTGTGTGACGGAGTGTTTGTGTTTGTGCTGCTTTTTGACACTGATTACAGGTTCAGGTCTAAAGTGTCATTCTACAGCAGTGGAGATAAATTAAACAATCACGCTGTTTTACAGCTGTTGGCTTTATAATAAAAGCCTATGCGCCCTTAATAAGCAGAGCGTATAGGTTTGTATTACAACTTAAAATAAAAGATTACATGTTATATATCTAATGAATACATTCAATTTAATTGTAGACTTTTAAATGCCAGTGCATGATTTTGTGCAGATAATAAACCATTACATTTAATTAAATCCTCTTTGTTGTTTAGAATGACATCACACCGCTTCATGTGGCTTCAAAAAGGGGCAACAGCAACATGGTCAAGTTGTTGCTGGACAGAGGGTCCAAAATTGATGCAAAGACCAAGGTGAGATTAATTCTCCTCAGAAAGCTCAAAGACATTCAGAAGCCCATGAGGCTGATTTTTTTTACTCTTCTGTGATTTATTAACACTTGAGCTGTCTTTCTTGTCTTCCAGGATGGTCTGACACCTCTTCACTGTGGGGCGAGGAGCGGGCACGAGCAAGTGGTAGAGATCCTACTAGACCGAGGAGCTCCTTTCCTCTCCAAGACCAAGGTAGCTACTGGGACGATCAATTTAGAAGGCGCTGCTTAGCTCAGAATAGGAAAGGGAACAAATTCATGTCACATGTTTGTTTTTCTCTGACTGTTATAAAACAGAATAGATCACACTTCACTTGAAACAGGGTACACATTGCTAATAACTATGTAATACAGATGTTTGTATAAACTAGCTTTCCTCAGCACACAGAGCTATTTGACATCTAACCAATCAGATAGCAGGTCTGTTGTTGTTGCTGTAGTGTTGTCGTATTGTCTCCATAAGGTCTGTGCGACCTCTCCAGAACAGCCTGCCTCCTCTGCGTAGCCCCACAGTTTGACCGCGCAGGACGACCAGTGTAACAAAATAGACATTGTTGTAATGGCCTCGTTATAACAATGCTTCTGTAACCTTCTCAACAACTTCCTACACAGTCTGTCTGTGCAGCGCTTGGCCACGTCCTAACTTACTGTGTCTGTCTGTCCATTTGTCTATGTGTCCGTCTGCATGTGCGTTTGTCGCTGTCTCTCTGTTTGTCTCTTTCTCTGTCTGCCTTTCTCTTTCTCTCCCCCTCCTCTCTGTCTTTACCTCTCTTCCCCCCCCCCCCCACTATAGAACGGGCTATCACCGCTCCACATGGCCACTCAGGGGGACCACCTCAACTGCGTCCAGCTACTGCTCCAGCACGACGTGCCGGTGGACGACGTCACCAACGATTACCTGACGGCGCTGCACGTTGCCGCCCACTGTGGTCACTACAAGGTGGCCAAGCTCATCGTGGACAAGAAGGCCAACCCAAACGCCAAGGCTCTGGTAGGGATTAAGGGGTCTATTAAAACTACTAAACATTCAGTGTGTCCTACAAAATGTTTTGCTTGGCAAAAAAAACGGAATTATCTTTCATGAAGAATAATGAATTCAATTGATACAGGAAATGACAAAAATAAATATTTGAATGCTATTTTACAATTGCATTATGCAGTTTTGTGTTATAGCTAAATGAGCCAGCCATCAGGCTTTACTGCTGCACTTACTGTATGTGATGGTTTGAAAGGAGAATGAGACACTAAGGGGTACAACGTTTTCTAAAAAATAATTAATTTCAAATTCAAGAAGGCATTCATTCATAATTTGAGAAGAAGTAGAAGAATTAAGAGAGAAAAGGTTTCTTTGTCACCTTTGTGGTTTGCAACTAACATTCTCTTTACCACCCATTTACTTTCTAGCAAATAAAAGCAGTCAGTCATAGATATCTTGTGACTGTGGAGAGATCATCCCTTGTGTGAGTGTGAGCTTCACACCAAGACTTTTTTGTCTTTCTGTGTGCAGAACGGTTTCACTCCGCTTCACATCGCCTGCAAGAAGAACAGAGTAAAAGTAATGGAGCTGTTGCTTAAACATGGAGCCTCTATCCAGGCTGTCACTGAGGTACTGAGCACTATTTTCTGCTTGACTCTACCTGTGAAGTGGTTTCTTCAAACTGCGCTGACTTTTAACTATTCTAAGCTGCACTATTTTATACATTGTGACTTGCTTTAATAGAGCTTGTCTTTGTTTGGACTTGTTTTGCCTACAGTCTGGCCTAACGCCCATCCATGTGGCAGCCTTCATGGGCCATGAGAACATTGTCCATGCACTGACACACCACGGAGCCTCACCTAACACGACCAATGTAGTGAGTGGATGAATTTATAATGTACTGTTACATGTTACATGTTTCTATTAAGTCCCACATCATCGCATGTGAAAAGCTCCCACTGAAAACCGTTTTCCATGTTTCTTCCAGCGAGGAGAGACATCTCTCCACATGGCAGCCAGGGCAGGTCAGGCAGACGTGGTCCGATACCTGCTCAAGAACGGAGCCAAGGTGGAGACCAAGTCCAAGGTGAGAACACTGAGCCTCGTTATCAATCACTGTGTCGGGGAGAGAAACAAAATGAAACAAAACAAGGATAAAATACTGGGCCAAATGTCACTTTCTTCTTCTCCGCAGGACGACCAGACAGCGTTGCACATCTCCAGTCGGCTGGGGAAGGTCGACATTGTCCAACAGCTGCTGCAGTGCGGCGCCTCTGCCAACGCCGCCACCACCTCAGGCTACACCCCCCTTCACCTGGCTGCCCGCGAAGGACACCAAGACGTTGCTGTGATGCTGCTGGAGAACGGAGCCTCGCTCTCCTCCTCGACTAAGGTGGGTCCGATAGAGGGTCGTCATAACGTCATGGAGTTGGATGTCTCGATTTCTTCCACACACACACACACACACATCTGAAGAACCAAGCATCACAGAACAGATCAGCTTCATTATTTCAGTGCCGTGTCTCTCCACTAGTGGGCACCAGTTTCCAATAGTCTCCATGATGCTCATCTAATTATGTTCATCAGTCAGAGTTTGTTGCTGCTGAAATATTCTGTCACAACAAAAGCATTCATGGAGACCAAAAACCAGCGTATATACAAGGCTCAAACATGTTAAGTTCTGTCACATAGAGGAGTCACTTGAATTTTTTAGTGCTCACATTCAGGTCAGTGGCAGTATTAGTGTTGACCCACTAATGTAAGACAGCACTTAAGTGCTTAAGTGCATATAGGTGCAGCCCAACATGGACGGATGATGTCAGTTTTTGGTGGTGCTGGTTTCACATGTGACTAATTGCACGGATCAAGGTCAAAAAGAGATTTAGAGTAGACTTCGTGGAATTGGTTTGTGCATGTGTGTGATTGTATGTTGCAGTGGGCTGTCTTTGAAGGTGACCTCCGTCAGTGGAACAGATTAATGAACGTTAAACCCCATGGTGCCAGCGTTCTCTAACACACACACACACACACACACACACACACACACACACACATCTTTTGGGACTTCACTTGTATCAGCTGTTCGACAGTTGTTCGTCACACGAACCTTGGAACAGAGGGGTTGTGGGATGGAAACCATGAATTGACCCATTTGTGATGCTTATGAAACAAATTTATCGTTAAAGTGCCCGCATTTGAAAACATTTAAAACGTCTTCTCTATGACCCTTTACCGTATGAGCTGTAAGAATATTAACCAATCACACAAATGAGGTCATGTGTTTCAGAGCGTGGAATGGGAATCTGTGGGAGTCACATTGCTCAGGAAAATATGACCTAATGTCTTAAAATATCTTCACGCACACACAGGAAGGAAGCCAGGATTAACATGATCACATTATTCAACAGACATTTATAGATCTGGAATACACAAGGAAATAGGGGCCTTTGCCTTAGTTTCTCAGGGTATCACATACCTTATTGTTAAAACTAACTTAGTAATGCACAGATAACACTCATTTATAGATCATAGCAACGAATATTGCAGGTCAACAATGCCTTTGAAGGATAATATCAGGGGTCTAATTTCATCCAAAGAAAAAACCTTCATGCAAAAACATTGTAGCTAAAATACATATTCCTTTTAGGATGAAACGGTGTGTTTTTAATTGGTTGTTAAACGCTACATTCTATCAGTTTGAGAACAAACTAATTATTTGTTGCAGTGAGTTCATGTCAGTAGACATGTTTCGGGTACAAAACCTTTATTTCCTAAGTTTTTAAGTCAAAGTGGACACTGAACTTAACCATCCAGATAAGCTATTTACAACTATGTGAGAAACTATGTTGTTATGAAGAAGAGCTTCACCCAGGCCAGCAAAGGCTGACCCAAAACAAAGTAAATATTCACTTCCTGTTTATATATCCGTCTCTGCTCCTCCTCTCCATCCTCTCTTTCCACTGTCTTTCATTTTGTTGATGTATTTCATTCTGTGTTCAGCAGAAAGGGTTCAGTCCCCTGCATGTGGCAGCAAAGTACGGAAAGATGGAGGTAGCCAGTCTCCTCCTACAGAAGAGAGCTCCGCCTGATGCTGCTGGAAAGGTGAGATGTCTTTAAAGAGAGGAGAGGCTTAGTGCTTCCTCTAGCTGCTGCTTCCAGATTACAGCATGAAGTTTTTCCTCTAAACTGTCTGCTGCACTAACTATCTTTCATCAGTTTGATGTCCATCTCCCTTCATGTCTTTACATTCTGTTGGTTTGGTGCTTTCATTTTACTTATAGGCGTGTTTGTGCCTGTGTGTGTTCAACTTCTAACCTGGTGATGTGTTGCATGGGTCTGTGTGTGTGTGTGTGTGTGTGTGTGTGTGTGTGTGTGTGTGCGTGTGCGTGTGCGTGTGTGTGGGTGTTTTAGAGTGGGCTAACTCCACTGCATGTAGCCGCTCACTACGATAATCAGAGAGTAGCACTGCTGCTGCTGGATCAGGGAGCTTCCCCACACGCTGCCGCCAAGGTATCCACACAAACACACATCAACACATGTACTGCAATGAATTCATCTGGCTTGTGCCCTCAGCTCCATCTCAGACCATTAACAATGTTCTGTATGTAATGTATGAAGATCTAATCCTCACCCATCTTCTCCCATTCCGTCCGGTCTAGTCTTTGACGTTGTGAGTGAATGTGCGGCTTTTTATCTGAGCTCTGCAAAGTCTTTGAAATCACTCAACGAGCCAGCACTTACTTATTTATTTGGTGTTACCAATAAATAGAGGAAAAAAAGAAAAAAAGTTACTGCTCTTGCAGAAACGTCTGACAGACACAAACACACATGGTCGGTGACATATGGTCAAGTTGTGGCGTGTCTCCTGCTAGGCTTTGGCAGTCTGTCTAAAGTATGAGCAGAATGGCAGAACTGCCAACCAAAATTATGGCAGGAAGTGCCTGATTTTTGGCTGGACTGTCAACTGCAAGAGGAGACAAAAGCTTGTTAAGCTAGTTTATCCTTGCTTTCTGTCTTCTCTTTTTGTCACTGTCTCCTGCTAGCTCTCTCTCTCTCTCTGAATCTGTATCTGTCTCTTTTTATTCCTTCGTTCCTCCCACACTCTTAGTCATTAGTTTCTCCTTCTATAAATTGTGTTTAATTCGGCTTTGTGCTAAAGTTGGTGTGCTTGTTGTAATTTAAGGGCTTTTGGAAAGGGATCAATCCTTTCTTCACTAAGAATTGTCTAGAAGCGTCTACACACTCAGATGCGAGGAGTGCATGATCACAGACTTGTAGCAGAAGCGTGGTGCATGCGTCGCATCTCTGTACTAAAGACAGAATGATCTGACATTGTGAAATTACAAAAACACTGAGCATAACAAGCCAATTTTTATTACAATATAATAGATACAATAATCCATTAAAGTAAGAGAAGAGCTCAGTCCAGCCTCCTAACCCCTGCATCTCTTTGACCTGCCTCAGAATGGCTACACGCCGCTCCACATCGCTGCCAAAAAGAACCAAATGGACATTGGGACCACGCTGCTGGAGTACGGCGCCGACACCAACGCAGTGACGCGACAAGGCATCAGCCCCATTCACCTAGCAGCTCAGGAGGGCAGCGTGGACCTGGTGTCCCTGCTGCTGACCAAGAACGCTAACGTCAACATGTGCAATAAGGTAAAATCAGTGACAGAGCTACAGTATGTAACCAGCTACTAGACAACAATCCTAGATACTACCCCTTGCTGTTATCACCTTAATCACCATTTTTAGAATATAGTTAAAGACACTGTCGACCACTGGATTCCAGCATCTTGTTTACTGAGAGAGATAGCATATTTCAGTCTTATGTGCTTCCACCATAACACATTTATTTTGTGTATTCACACGTGTTTCTATCCTCATACCCAGAGCGGACTTACACCACTCCACTTGGCAGCCCAGGAGGACAAGGTTAATGTGGCAGAAGTCCTTCTCAACCACGGGGCTGATGTCAACCCACAAACGAAGGTAAAGGTTTCTCAGCTCGTATACCCACAAACACAAACACACACACACACGCACACACACACACACACACACACACACACACACACACACTGTAAATACACACACAGATAAGGGTCTTCAAATCGCTTTTTACAGTTGGGGTTTGATGCATAACCTTTCATTCACACACATCATTGACTCTATGATTGGCTTCGTGTTTTTCTCTGTAGTTTTAGTCTAGTCATGGCATCAGAAAAATACTCTGGCACACAGACACACACACACAGACACACACCCACACACACACACTTGGTCCGCAATCATCTCGGGTGATAGATAAATAAAGGATTGATACCTGAGAGGAAGGTGTTCATGTCTTTGTGGGGGCACACACTGCAGCA